CCCCGAGCATTCGTCTTGCGCACGCGTGCGCCTTAGCTCCCGGCGCAGTCTCTCGCCAACCCCCGCTCCCAAGAAGGGCTCCGTAGGCCCATTCATAGTGCAAACATAAACATACGCATGGCGCTAACATAGAAGTCAGGACTACGTCCATAAGCGGACTCGTTCACAATGCGTTCGCATAACACGTAAGACGTTAACTTAAAAGCTTGCAAACTTCTGTGCTTATGGTTAAGTAAAACATAAGTAATGAACCAATCACAGTACGTTAACTCGAAGTCGAAAATCGAAATAGTATCGAAGTCGATAGACGAAGCAAAATAAGAGTTTCTTTTGGCTGTGAGACATTCTAGTTTAGTATTGGTGGGAAGTAAGAGTCGTTTTCGAGGTATCGACTGTGTCCATGGTACACGACGACGTGCCCGCCACCTCCGAGGTCGACACCAGCCCGTGGTCGCACGAAGGCGGCCAATTCAATGCAGTATAACGTAGGTTGCTAAGGGGAGGGTTTGCCTGAGACCAATCCACGGAAAAGACCAGTTCGAGACGTTAGATTAAATCACCAATAAGATTTAAAGTATCGCGCGTGACGGAGCAGAGGGCTTTTACATAGAGTCACATACGTCACATACAACGGTTACTGTTCTTTTGGCTAAATAAATAGAAATCTAAATCTTTCTAAAAGGGGGCGGGGAAAACAAGCGAGGGAGCATCAGACAGGGAAGAGAAAAGTTACTTGGTGTCGAGACTTTGGAAGAGGCAGACATAACTTCATATCAGGAGTGGCTGGTGTCAGAAGTGACTTAGTAGATCAGACACGCAAGCGACTGGTGGGTACTTTGCGGTCGAAACAATTCGACCATCCTCCACTCATTTAAATTAGAATTAATGCCGTTCGGCGGACCGGTCCGTCGACACTCGAAAGGCACCCAAAGGACTGGAAAAAGTTAATTAGGAGTGATCATAGAACATTTGTAATCAAAATTCCTTTATTATAATAAACGGTTCCCCACCATTTAGGAGGGTGACTTTTAAAAGAAACTCCGACACAGTGTTTCATTCGTGTAGTTATTAAGCATATTGCATTCCTTCGAATCAGAGTAACCCAACCCTGAGGTTCTCAGAGCTGGAGCCGTACGATAGGTAACTCTTAGTACTATGCACGCTTGGCGCTAATTAAATAAATTTTGCGTGTGTGTCTGACTTAGTAATATCAAATTTGGAGAAATTCAACTTAACGGTTTAGGTGCTTGTGATGTTCACACACAGACGGAAAACAGTCTTTTGTCGTCAATCGATTTTTTGGTTTCAAGGACACGCAAAAAAGGGATTGTGGCTACACCACCTGTTATAGGATTTTTGTTCCTAATTTAGCAACTGGATTTATCCACTTTTTCGTTGCCAGGGTCCTGTAAAAAGAGTTTTTCTGCCCAAAATTCCCGTTTTTCGCGCAGTATTACATAACCATCTCTTTTTAAGATCCTTCTTTAACGCGAGAAAATAAAAAAACGTTATAATATAACCGATAAATTGCAATTTTATATTTAATTATAATAATTGTTTAAGAGGACGACTCTATATAGAGGGGAAAATAATATACATCACTGAAAAAATAGTACCAAACTCCTGAACCATCAAAATGCTCACGATGACTAATCTCATTGGCATTCAAGAGACCCGTAGGCCAAAAAAATTCGGGAACGTTTTCAAGACATGCGGCCTTACCAAGGAATCATTCTGGACGGCTTAGAAACGCACCTGGGGCGACGCCGGGGCCCATGACGACCCAGTCGGCGGAGGAGCACACCAAGCCGTGCTGCAGGAACACCACGGGTCTCCGGCCCCCCGCCCCCCTGCCCCCCGGGGGCGACGAGGGCGAGTGGGGCACGCGGTGCAGCGTCAGGATGTAGCCATCGGCCGTCGTCACCTCGTGCGCCTCCGCCGGGTACCCGTATTTCCTTAGCAGCCCCACCTGCCGACAGGAAACGTACCAAACAGTATTCCAAGCAAATCTCATAAAATGCGCTTGTATATTTAATAAAATGTTTATCAAATAGTCTACTGTACTACAAAGTATGCAAATGTTGCAGTAGGACGTAGATCATCCGAACGTCAATCATTCGAAACGTCAAATATCCGAACTCATATTTTCTCTTAATATTTTTTTTGAATTAAGTATCATATACTATACGATTTTATTTTATTTTTTAATATATATATATATATATATATATATATATATATATAAAATGTAAATAATCGTCGTGCTCGTTGACCTAGCTGCGCCTTCCTTTGTGAGGCAGGTCGGGTCAGTGATACGCCACACTCAGTCGGTGTACAGCCGTCAAATGACGTGGAAATGTGAAAGCAAGGGCTGGTACGGTATGTCGTCACCAAAGAGGGGCAATATCAGCATCTAGTGACTTCGAATGCGGCAAAATTATCGGTCTCCGGAAGGCGCTTTGTCGTACAATGACATTGCGGCACCGATGGAATTCGACAGTGTTGCTTGTGTGGAACCAGTGAGTTCTACTCAGCGACGAGCGGGTACTGGACCACAGTATGTGACCACATCCGGAAATAACCGCCACCATGTCCGCTTAGCCTCAACCGACAGAAAGGGCATCGTCCACAATGTTGGCTCTACTTTGGAGCACTGCAACGGGTGTGGTCATGAGTGGGTCGACGGTTCGACGCTGTCTGCTGAGGGCTGGACTGGTGGCACGCATACCACTGCGTCGGATTCTGTTGGTCAGAAACTACCAACGCCTCAGACAGCAATGAGCACATGAACGTGTGCACTGGTGTGCTGAGTGGGAAAATATAGTGTTTTCAGACGAGTCCCGCTTCCTTTTGTGGTACAGCGATGGCCGCGTACGTATTCAACGCTACAGAGGTGATCGCAATATGCCAGACTGCATTGTTCCACTCCATGGTGGACAAACACCAAGTGTGATGGTTTGGGGCGCCATTGGTTACAATGTGCTATCTAGCTTCATACATATTGAGGGCAATCAGAACAGCAACTGCTACATTAGGGAGGTTTTAGAGCCCTTCGTACTGCTCCTCCTGCAAGCAACTTCACATGACATACAGAAGTTTCAAGAGGACAATGCCCCACCGCATATGACGAGTAATGTGCAAGTTTCCTACGAAGAATGACGGGTACCACTGCTTCCCTGGCCTGTTCGCCTGACATATTGCCCTCGAATATATTTGGGTTATGAGCGGTCGGCAACGTATTCGTTCTGGTCCTCGTGCAGCCACTGCCAATGCTTTGTTGTTACATATAGAAACAGCGTGATACTGTGTTCCCCAGCAGTATATTTAGGCCCTCTTTGACTCCATGCCACGACGTCTAGAGGTTTTGACGGCAGCGCGTTGGCTTCACTCCGTACTATATACTCAAGGTCAAAATGCTGGTAAAGTTCTGTAATTCTAATCATTTGTATATTGAGATGTCCCTAATCTGTGGAATAAATTTCATTACATTAGTACAAGTATGTCTCCTTGCTGTTTGAAATTTTCAGAAACACCAGTGTATTTTTCTCTCCCATTATTTACAACGTACACTCTTGAGAGAGATCAACAAAAATGAGACCTGTGACATACATTTAAGCGTCTCTTGTCTTCAACTGTGGAAAAATTAAAAATTTCTTTAGCAGCTAACGTTGTTCGCAGGCAGACGGGAGGGTAGAAGTTTTCCTGTCATTCAAATTTTCGATATCAAAGATCCGCCAAATGTGAATTGTGATTAAACAACATCTTAGAGGAAGTGATTTTCTAGAAATTGAAACTTATAGAAACAACATTTATCCACTATTCGTTAACAGGGACTGTCAATCACAGTTTTTCTGTGGAAAACTTGATGTTTTTCCGCGAATTTCCATAATAGGTATAAACGTTTCGTTATTTACATCAGTGATTTTTTAAACCATTCGATTGTTATTTGATTTAGATAATTATATTTTTTAATATTTGATGTAAATAACGGCCATTGTGAAAGAGATCCATGAGATGGCGAACATCCGCGTGCCGTACCGTGTCGAGGTGGACGTCTTGGTCGATGTTGTAGGAGGCGAAGGCAGATGCCAGGAGGCCGAGACCCAGGACGCCGATGGACAGAGCCATGCCTGCAAATCTAGGCCTGGGGAGCTCCGCGACCGACTCCCAAGGGAAATGAGGAAACGGCGCGGAACTTTCTTCACCTAGTATAAGAAAAGGCGTTTACTTTTTCCCCCCTCCTATCACTGCTTACGTATGCGCGGAAGAAACGTTCCGCTGATAGTGCGTTTGACAGAGACAAGTGGGCTGAGTCAAATGGAACGACCGCGTGGGAGCATGTGATTGATCAGTTCGAAAACACACGATGACGATGTAACGGCGTTTTCGCAATACTAGTGCGACGAATTCACGGGTTAATTACTAATACCGGGGCGAGTCAACTGCGAAGGTCATTAGACCCGTAAGTGTAGTGCATGTTTTGACGTTGATAGTGACAGTGACCTTCTCCTACTGGATAGCGAGATGCAGCGCCGACCTACACTTCGTTTTCGTCGTAATGCGCGTATGTGTAAGTAAGGGGTGAATATAGGAAAAGAAGAGTGAAAGAAAGATCGCACGCGGTCCGTGGCCCATTTGTTAGTGTACTGCTCCGGCATTAGCCCGGTGATGACCGCAGGAACCACGGAAAACTACCGATCAGAGCAGCCGGCCGCTAGAATTCTCCTCCAGGCAGTGGCGGAATTCGGCTTAGCATTGTAGCTGGTGTCGAAATGTCTGCCATCGGGTCTCGAACCCTAGGATCTCCGAGTGAGAGGCACTGCAGTGTCATCCATTGATGCTCTGAGCCACCTAAGCAGGTAGTGTGTCGCGTCTCTCTTTGGTTGTCGAGGGCGACCGATCCCCTTACTTATATCAGAGGCATTCGTTTGGATATTCAGACAGGTCGCGATGCAAATCACTGCATCAGCGACTCTGCCCGAAATCTTTGCTCTCCTGGCAACTCGGCCATCCCAGTGCGCGCGCCGCGCACGTGCCCCGCCCCCTGGGGGGGGGGCGAGGAGCCCCCGTCCGTCCATATGCGCGCCTCCCGCTAGAGAAAAAAAATCTCTGAGGTTCACGGTGCGCAGGCAGTCGGCAGAGAACACGGGGATCTCCCGGTGCATCGAGTGAGAAATTCAAATCCGGGGACCCACCGACCATGTGGCGGAGACTGACCAATCACACGAGACATGACGTAACGTGACCAACTGAGAAGACCGCGGACGAGGAGACCGGACGGAACAGACAGCTGTACGCGTAAGGCTTCATTCACAACGCAAACTGGCGACGATGGTGTGACGATTAGCGTACCGGACTGTTATACCCAAGCTTGCGGGTTCAAACCCGATCGAAGCCGTGGATTTTTAGGGCGACAAAATCCTACGTACGCCTTCCTTCGGAGGGGAAGTAAAGCCGGCTGTCCCATGTTAGTAGATTTACTTGCATGTAAAAGCTCCTCAAGCCTAAATGACGCCTCTGAGCTAAATTCAAAATCGCCTATTTCTCGCCCAAGAAATACCTCCTTTCTCTGCTAGATGAAAGGAGCGTAGCGAAATTTGCGTGGTCAGACGGAAGAGCGGGCCTGATGGCCCGAGCCTCGCCACGTAAAATAAGGCAAATTCAATTCAATTCAAACTTAAACGTAAACACAACGTAGCAGCAAAACCTAGAAATGAGATATTGAGGGAGACCGTTCACAGTGCTTCAACGTAAAGCCGTAAACGTAAGCACCAAGCATTTACGCTAATTTTTATGTCCGAATTCTACCGACGACCAATCACAGAGCAGAATGAAAGAAACAAACATGCATTGTGTTCAGGTAGGTTGTAGTATGTGATTTCATTACTATTATGTACTGAACTAGTTTGCGAACTTTTTTGACGCAAGGAGTAAGTAATTCAAAGTAAGAATTTGGGTAATTTTTCTTGTGACTTTAAATTGACGTGGCAATTAAAATAATTACGACCGACGAATCACGCATGAATTTGTTTCAAGAGAATCCTCGTTTGTAAAGTAAATGAAATGCAAGCAATAATATAGCAGCTACTCGCATTTATACAGAGAGACAAATAGATAGAAAAATCCAAGAGAAAACTAGAAACCATAATGGAAGGAGCTTTTTACAATGCTATAAACGAATCGACAATCGAACAAGCTTCAATACCCTGAAATCTCATTACCTCAAGCGAAACTTACGATCCAGCTTACGTTCGTCATTGTGAGTGCTTGTTTTTACATGTAAATTTTATTACTAAGTTTACGTAATTCGGTTACGTTTAAGTCTGCATCGTGAATGAGGCCTTTGGGCCCTGACGGGACGCGTCGCGCCATGGAAGCTGCCACGACCCGGAGCGACCGTAGCCGCTCTTCGCACTTCCCGCTCCGCGCCAGCTGCACGGGGGAGCTTTGAGGGAAGATCCACCAGGAATTGATGGATGTGCACAATTTCCGACGCAAATAAATGGTGACGAAATAATTACAGAACTTGGTATTTGGCCAACTATTCTGGGATTCGACTGCACAGTCGTGCTGCAAGCGTTTCGGACGGTGATATCCAGCGATCCTGCCGAATTCGCTCCTTCCCCAGGGCATCTCCGATCGGCGACCGTGTCGGGAGCAGAACTGGGGACCTCCAGGTAAGAGGGTTACAATATGCAGAAGTAGAGAATGCTCCGTATCGATTGTTCTCATTCTCTCGCGCGTTTGATTGTGTGTAAGTCTAGGACAGCGCCTCCTGCCTCTAACAGCGAGGTTGGCCCTCTAAAATACAAAAATAACTTGGAATAAATATTCACAAGTTATTAAACATAAAAAACACTACTCGTAGACTCATTCCGAGGTCTTCTAGTTATGCATCGTAGCTTGTAATCTACAAATTGGAACATTTTTAGTGTGCTTTTACATGGACCAACATGATTTTAGTAGTATGCAGGTCGTTTCATTGACAAGTGAGCTTAAGATTTTTATGCCATTATTCGTTTAAGTTTGTGCACTGGTCTTTGGTATTCACTACTCTTTCTTTACCGCTCTATTCGGCTGTTATAACTTTATGGAAATAATTGTGAGTAAATCTATTTGAGGTAAATCTATTTTGCGATGAAGCAAGAGATTTGCAAGTGAATCTGATTCAGTGATGTCAAAGTTAAAATGTGTTTAAATATCAATTCAAATGTCCAAAATGTAAAGATTATGTAAAATATAGGAGATAGGTTTTCCATTTCATTTAATTAAGCATGTATGAGCTACTTTCATACTTGCTATGAGAGCAAAACATCAAATTACACTCAAAATTATTTCGGCATAAAATGCGTAGGTGTTCCCCAAATTCATGGTTATTTTAGGCAAATCTCGGTCTTCGGTAGAAGCCCCTCCATCAACATGGGGATGAGCAAACAAAGTGAGTCAAATGAGTCGTATATTATATGCGCTTAATATAATTGTTTATATACCACACCATTTTGTGCACATTGAATGCATTGTGACTTTTTGATCGATTCATCGTCATTTTGGCCAGTGAATGGAATCCATATGCGTCAACTATTAAACAGAGTAAATATTCAGCGAATCAAAGTAGTCACCAATTCTAATGATTTTAAGTTGTTGTCGCATTAAAAAGAATATTTTACTAATTGACAAATGTTTGTACGGGTCCTGCTTCTATAATTTACCACCATTTCCTCCCATCATTGAACAATTTTGAATCCGAAACCTCGCTAATGATTTTTATACAATATTTTATTTGTGGTGCCATGTTTCAAGAAGTAACGGAAAAATAGATAAGCTATTTACTGAGTTACACGTGCTAGAGTGAAAATGAATTTGCTAATTTCTATGACCTCGGGTAATTTTTCATGAAATATTGTAGACATTTCCTACTATTGAAGATATCTATTCAAATGATAAAAGTGGTGTAACAAAACACGTTTGAAAACACGATGTGCAACATGAAACAACGCACATGCGTTGCTGATTTTTTGCAAATGTAACCCGTTGTCTACCCGTTTATCACAGGGCTGTCTAGAGAAATTGATGCATGTTCACGGCGAAGTCCATGCACACTATCGCGGACTCACTAACGCAAACACGGGCAATTGGACACTTTCTACCCAGGTGCATAAAGCGACACACCATAAATATTCTAAGACAATAGGTTCATTATAATCATTCTTGCTAGCTGAAAAATAATATATAGCCATGCAAGACATATTATTAAATAGGGATGAAAATTAGTGATTCTATAACATCCTATACTTTCTCGCGCGATTTGTAACACGCAAACGCGTTTCCAACCAATAATTTTTTTTTCATGTCGTGATTCGAACTCAGGTCCACCAAGTTAGCTCACCGTGCGCTTTACCGCACACAGTTTCTCTCCTTTACTCACTTCTAAAATCAATTTGTCTCTCCCATTACAGTCAACTTGCAATTTTAGGAAATTCAAAACGTTCAACGAAAATGAGACCTACTCCATTATGTAATGCACCTCTTGTCTTAAACGTGGAAAAAAGTAAAGAACAAAATTGAGGCAGTTTATTTAAATTTTTTAATTGAATTGTCGAGCAGAAGTTACGTGAAAACTAATTTTTTCAAAACATTGTGCATGATCATTTTTAAGTTCTGATGTTCACTTTCTCATTTTCTGCAGTATAAGATATTGAAATGCTGCAGGACAAAGACAGCGATATTTCGACAGAAAACTCTTATTTTCAGGCCTTGGTAACGAGAAAGAAAATATGTATCCTATATGTTGAAAATTACTTCCTCTAGCACATTGTGTAGTCACAATCCATGTTTTGTGGATCCTCGATACTGAAAAATTGATGACATGAAGCCTCAATAACATTTACAAATAGTTCTCAAAAATGGTTCTGAATTTTTTGATTAAATATTGTCCACGGATTGTGTAAAGAAGTCTTAAGAGAATGGTGAACCTCTCATTTTTGTTGAAATCCCTAATTTTTCGAAAATTGAAACAGTCCAATTTTGTTCGACATCTTCCTACAACTACAATATTGATGATGGTAATTTTTATTTTCTCGCACTTACTAACGCAAGAAAACAGCGAATTTTCGACTCTTCGACTTCGACAAAAACTCTTATTGCCGGGCCCTCGTAAGGAAAAAGTGAATAAATCCAGTCGATAAATATAGGAGGAAAATCCTCT